AGTCTCTGAAGGATTTGTCGTCAGCTCCTTTGCCCGTCCTTCTCGAACTGGTCGACTAAAAGAATGCGATAAAGACACCCCCAATCTTTCACGATTGGAACAAATTCACCGTTTACGACACCACTCAAGACTTCCGCTAAACTAAACTGCGCTGATGTCGAATTTTGTGGTGCCAGAGGCTCACAGTAAAGCAACGACGACACGTGAAGTTCTGTACCGCTCTAAATGTCAATCCTAAGGAATTAAAAACATTAATACGCGAGCGTCGGCGATTCATTCGAGTAGTTATGACCTTCTAACGCACTGAAGACAAACTAGCGCTAAACCGCCTTTACCGGAGCATTAGGAAAAAGATGAGAGTGCCTAAAAACTGCTAATGGCATATAAAATTAAACGAAGTATTGAAAGCTGGTGACATTGATTGCGCTCCCTTTTGAGAATTGGCCAAGTGAGTTAGAAATCGCGGATATTCGACTCGGCCACCCCTTCGCAACGGCGGTATCGTAGCGAAAGCGATGAAGATAAAGCGAAACTTTTTGATGATCAACTAGCTCTCCAAGTTAGTCGTCTACCCACTCAAATGTCCACAACTCTCCCCTTGCGCCTAATCTTATATCTTTAATATTACTGGTTTTTTGGAGCTGTCTACCACAGATGAGATTCAAATCAGTTGTCAAATTACTATCAAAGCGAAAGGCGCCCAGCCTTGACGGTATCACTAACCTGAAGTTAAAACAGCTGACAGAGGCTGCTATGAATCACCTCTGCAGCCCGTCAACTCGGTGTTGACTTTCTAGTCGTTAGGTTACTGAAGAGATCGCAACTGGCATCAGAGTCTCGCAGCTATTTGACCCATCAGCCTTTAGTTGGCAATTGGTAAGATAGCTGAAGCAGTGATACTTGATCGAATGGAGACGGTTGTGGACGCTCGTGGAATTTTACCAGAGTTTCATTTTGAGTTTCGCAAGGGACAATCTAAAACCCAAAAAATTCTCTCACCGAGAGGACGACCAGAGCCTTTAATTTTAAGAGCCACTGGCGCTTCTTTCTCGATGTTGAGAAGGCTTTTGACCATGGCATAGTGGCCTGTTAAGCAAGCTACATGCTTTGGGAGACCGCGCTGCCTTCGAGAAGTTCTCAAGTCGTACCTAAACAGCAGTGTCTTTAACGTGCGAGTAGGCGCTGTACTGTCGTCGCATGACCATCTCACAGTGGGAGCCCCGCAAGGTTCTCTCTTCTATCACCAGTGCTATTCGTACTCAAAACGAGCGACATTTCTCTGCCTGCCCACCCTCACAAGTTAGCCATCTACGCCGATGATACGGTGATTTATACATTGTAAAAGTCACCCGTTTTACTATGTCAGGACTTACAATTTTGTCTCAAAGCGCTTGCTAACTGGAGTCGTCAGTGGGAGCTCTTCATTAACGCATCCGAGAGCAAGGCACTTCTAATAACGAAGAAACGCCATGCGCTGCCGACTCCGTTAACTTTTAACGGTATGAAAATTCCGTGGTATCTCGGTAAAATACCTGGGGTTATTATATATCCTAAGCTTTCGTGGCGTCCACACTTAAACTACGTGGCGGCGAAGGTCAAGACAGCAACCCAGATGCCATATCCTCTATGGTGCAGCAAAAGTAAACTTTCGTTGCGCAATAAGCGAAGGCTTCATGTGCTGTGCATTCGGCCGATTATGACATATGCATCTCCTGTTTGGGCTTACGGCCTCTCGGCAATTTACCTTCTCGATTCACGTGCGACAAAATAAACTACTGCGCCCGTTAACAAACGCGCCGTGTTTTGTGTGCAATGATACACTTCATCCCGAACTACAGATTGTGCTGTGGACCACAATTTTTAAAATTGTTGCCATCGCCCTCTATGACACGTTAATCGTTTATTAGGAAGAACATACAAGTTGTGGGACGGCGCACAATGCCACTGTCCTCCCGATGCACTCTTAGCATGATCGTTGAAAGCTAAGGTTGTGGGGCTTTGTATTGAACATGAAGGACACATGTTAAGATAGTAATTTCACTTGTGCTCCTGGACGACCTAAAACCTGTTTGAGGGCTCGTGTATTCGAAGTTACTAACTCGATGGAGCACGAGGCAACGACGTTTTAAATAAAATTAAATTTCTCATATTAAAACAATAGTAAAAATTTCTTTAATAGGTATATATTTTTTTAATTCTAAATAATTTTATAACAAGCCTCATAAATGCCTTTTTATATTCTTTTAAAATCTGTAGAAGAATAGTATTATAGTAGGAAAATATAGTTCTCCAGGTAACATTAGGGTGCTACACTAATTAAAACTTTGCAAAAAAGTAGTAAAAATAAAATTATAAACCTTGAAACTAGGTTTACACATACTCAAATATCTTCTGTTAACTATTTATAAGTTAAACATAAATATTGTATTATAAGTTTTACATTGATTAGCATTAGCGATTGATAATTACTTTCTATAACAGTATTTAATTGTTGAATCAGTTGCACATGCTTTCACGATCTTGCATTACATCTAATTATAGCGCGGACAATTTACAATTCATTTTTAGCCTTTCACCCGGCCTGCAAAAAGTAAAAACCTTTCGTAGGAATTTAAAATTGCTACACATCTACCTTAAATCTAATTAATGCTCTTAGAAAAAAATTAGTATATAAACGTTTTTATGAAAAGTGGAGATATACTCGATTCTACCCCACAGAATCACCTTACATCTCAGTTTCCTACTTCAGTTAACGCTGCTACTCAAGACAATAAAAATAATTGTTTGAAGGATAAAAAGCTTAAACAGAAGATCAGGCAGCAGGAATGGAGGAAATTATTTTTAAATTCGCAGCAACTAACTTCAAGTTGCAATAAAACCTTTTCATCCATGAGTGTTGAAGGACAGCAATCGACTTTAACGAGTCAGCTTTTTTTAAACTGTGAAAAAGTAAAAATTGATAATTCAAAGGATCTATCATTCCATTATGAACTTATAAATCAGTTACAAGCAGATTTAGAAAAGTTGAAAACGGAAAATTATACTAAGGCTGGAGAAACAAAAATTTTACGCAATAAAATAGAGCACCTGTTGGCCGAGAATACCCGTTTGACAAGTTTGTTAAAAGATAAAGATCAAGAGCAATTAGTAGCTGTAAAGAAGGCTTGTAGAGAGCACAAAGAACACATTGAAAAGCTACAAACTCAACTTATTTTTACAACCAAGGAGATGGAGGAACTAGCCAACCGTTCAAAAATATTAAATAAACTAGTAAAAACTCGCCAACAGTTATTCTTCGACCCTCTTCCCTGCGTTTTACCTGGTAATGGATGGGATTTAGGCTTTTTGAAAGAAGTAGACCCTTACATAAACGTTTACAGGCAAGAGCGTACGGCTTATAACGATCCCGGTAAGTACGGAAAGTGTATATTCAGCTTTGAGAATTCGGGGGTGACAGACGACTATTGTCTTAAGCAAAAAAGGAGTTACGGAACACCTCAAGAAAAAGATTTTTTATCAAAAAGTATTTATAGGTGTTGTTCGGATATTAGCAACAGCAGTCTTTATCTATTTATGGAAGTTTTATTTCGGGAACCATTACTGTACGCTGACCATCTAAATATCCTTCCCCAAGATTATGCTACCGATGATTTGTGTGCAACTTGGAAGTTGAATATGCTCGCTAACAACACGAATGTACCCTCAAATTTTTTAATTTTTAACGCAAACTTGAATTATTCTGAACTTATATGTAAAAGCATTGAATTTTTACTTAATAACGACTTGGAAGGTTATTTTTATTTACTTCTTATAATTACTCATAATTTAAAAAGCTGCCTAGAATTTTTACAATATTTTTTTGCACGCAATGCTACTATTACGCCTAACCAAAATATGTTAGAAAAACACGCTGTAAAGGATAAGGTGAGGGAAGAACTTTTATATAACTTACGCTTTCTTGAGAGAGAATTATATAAATTTAAAGATTTAATTGACAATCTTACCCTAGTTAGAGAAAAGGTGTTGGAAGAATGGTGCGCTTTTTATAAATATTACGAGAACTGCAATAATGGCTTTAACAGTGACGACACTGTGCCGGATAAACCTATGCTAATCATTCTATTCGATATTATTAAAGTTTTAGAAAATATTGAAATGTCATATGAAGAAGTGCCAAAAGTATTTTTAGGTATTAAACTTGTAGAAAAGAAAATTTTTGAAATCTTTGAGTCCCTAGTCGCCCACACCCACTATCAACTGCGCCCCTCGTTAGAGAGTCCAGAGGTTTTTAACTGGGAAAATAAGTACTACGCACTAAAAGTGTACTTTACTAAGTATTTAATGGATATACTTCCTAGCATACTTTCCGTTAAAGGGTTGAAAAAGCTTACCACTCTGGAAAGGGGCAGTAGCTTGTTGAAGGACGTAAATTCGGCTTTATACCATGGCATTCACTCGAAGCTGCCCTTCCTAAGATTTTTGACACAACTGGCAGCCAGCCGGAGTTTTGTTCAAGAGGTTTTTAGCCATCAGCTTGCATCGGGTTGCTTCTTCGAACAAATATTGAGCCTTCTTACAGTCAAAGTGCACGCAGATTCCAAGCTAAACCTTGCTGCGACTCTTTTACATCTTGCCGCCATCCGGGTTGTGTCTGTAGCACTTACCAAAAAATGTTTTATGACCTCGAAAAACAGCAAAGAGGGTGAGAACGGGCAGTGCGGTTGTCAGTGTAAGACTCTTTTTTTAATAACTTATTCTCTGAAAGATTATATTACATATCAATTTTTGTGGAACGATGATGTTTATAATAATACGGTTAAAAAACAGTTTATTAAAGAAGCAATTACTTTGTGGCACGGTTTGTGCTTTAATTTGCTTACCAGCGATCTAGGTATCTTAAGTCAAATTAAAAAATTTAAACATGTTAGTGAGGCATTGGGGAGAAAAATTCTTTTGTTTTTAGTACCAGAAAAGTTAGATAAAGATGTGGAAGAGAACGACAAAGAGTGTGTCGGGTTAGTACAAGAAATATTGGAGTTTATTAATGACTTTGATGGCTCCACCAAAGCTAACACTACTTGAAATCAGTGAAGCGGTTTTCTCATTAAAGGTTTCTGTTTTACCATAACAACTGGTGTTCGGCAGAGTCGCACCATATATCGGCGCCAGACTCAAGTGCATCTATTAAAGAGGTGATCCTCGAGTCGTCAAAGCTCTTCTCCTGAAAAAACTATACAACTAAGATCGCAAAACTAATATAAATTTAACTACCGTTCTTATGACGTCTAAGCTTTGAGCAAAAGCATTAGTCAGTTGAGAAAAGTATAATTCTTTAAAGGGAATTGCGCTTTCACGTTTAGCTTCAGTTACCTCACTGCGATCCCATAAACATTTTTCAGTTTGTAAACAAGCCTCGTGGTTTAATTGCATAATAACATCCCATAAATTAAGTTTTTCGGTTGTCAAAGTTGCATTTTGCTCGGCATCCTCCACGGAAGCTAAAAAATTTTTTAGCTCCTAAACTTAGGTTATGAGAGCAATTATATTTAAAAACCAAAAAAAGACCTTTAAGTTAAGTCCTTGGGATTCTACATTATCATCTTTTCTCCACGAGATTAAGCTTTTTATTAAAACAAGAAATTTAATTATTCCGGCTGCCAAACGCTCTGTGCTTTCTTCGCTTATGCTTTCCTCGACATGTTTTAGTTTGTCCAAAACTTTTAAATTTTAATAACATTAAAATATTAAAAGCAAATTAACCATATTATTTATATAAATTTTACTTAATGAATATTAGTTACTTAAAATTTAATTTAGTAGACAAGACTAGGGGAGAATTTCTCTTTAAGCAAGTGTGAAAAAAGTAGACAATATTAGCTCAAGTACTTGAATAATAGGATTTATAATTTATTTGCTAACGAATTTAATAAGTTGTAAGCTTTTTCTTCATAAAAATTAATAATTTTTATAGTTTAGAATGTAAGAATATATCACAAAAGGAGACGTTTACTCTAACGATAAAAATAAGTACTATTCAGGGTATAAAGGTTCTGATAAACTACGCAGTTTTCAACGCCGTAATAAGGACCACATCCCACTACTGCAGCAATTCGGGAGATAACTAAAATTAAGGATAAGTCTAAGTTTATAGCTAATAAAAATGAAAAGCTTTTTGGGTTAAATATGAGTAAATATTATGGGGACCCTCCTCTATATTTAATTCAATCCCTTCCATATAGAGTAATTTTAAAAAACCGGAGCACTGTTAAAAGGTCTATTAAAATATTGTAAAGGAGAAGGGGGGCGAGGTTAATTATGCAACCGTCAGAGGCCGAAAAAAAATAGCAGAGTCGGGTATGATAACTTTCTTATTTAATTAGCTAAGAATTAGTGCACACACATGCCCATTTTTTGCATCACTTTTAAAGTTATTAAAGATGCGCAAAGGCTCGTAGAAATGAATGCAGATTTCTTATACTTACCAATAATTCAAAGTTTTCTTCTAAGCAATTTATTTAAATATATATATTATATGCGCGTCGCGTGGCCCTCGGAACCACGCGTCTTTTGGGTTTATTATGTAAACTGCACAGTTATAATAAATATAAAGCAATTTTTCTTTTATTACAAAAAAAAGATATTTAAGCTAAGTACATGTCTCCAACGGTTAACAAAAGAGCTCTTTCTGTTTTTTTAGTAAAATCTATAATCATTTACAAAAGATGTCTTGAAGGGTTAGGAAGTTTTAAAGCGACATTATGAAGCATTGCCTTTACTTCTTTTCCCAATTACAAAAAGAAATGGCAGCTTTTTTTATATTTGCATATATATTAAGACGCATACTGTATAAGCTTATTTTTGTTTTTTGTAAAACGCTCTTCGGTCAAAACTTCGGAGCAGCTGGTCGACTGGGCCAAATCCTTCCTTCTTCATAAGATATCCTTCATTTTGCTTTTTGTGTACTATTATTGCTAAATAGCTCATTAACAAGTACTTTATTGTCTACCACTCCAAGAGATCTTGAGTGGTCACTTGCTTGCCTTTTCAATTTTTATCAAAACTTATATAATAGAGTCCATTTCTTAGTATATTAATTACTTTAGCATGTCTCCTTACTTTTCACTGTTTCTCTTGTTATAAAAGGATGTTAAGCCGCCAACGAATGTACTTTGCGCTCTATAAATTCCTTTTGGGTCACAACATTTCTTTATAACATTTGTCTAGTTCGCGCTGTCTCCTAAGAACTGCGAGTCTGTGACTTTCAAAATGTAGCTCATCCAACAGGATTATCGACTACGGCCCTAAATAAAATGTTATTTATGCAATCGTTCAGATATTACTTTTTTTGACTTGTTCCAGTTAGGCCTACTCCAGGGTTTGGATCCGTACAACTTATAGGATGGGTAATAAAGTGTACTTCTTTTTAATTAATCCTTAAGCACAGTAATTTTTGGTGTTAATGCCAAGCTTAGGTTAAAAGTGTTTTGGGTCTTGCCTATAAAGCAGTTTTTATAGAACACGTCAAAATCTGATTTTTTCGGTTCTTTTGAAAATTCACTCATATGTAGTAAGCATTTCTACCGACTTTAATATATTCACTTATGTTTGGGGTGTCAAAATTTTGGCGGCCGCTTTTTCAAAGGTGTAGAAGCCACATAACTGAACTGCGACTCTTCAGACTGCCTCATATCCCACAGTGCATGAAACTCCGCCGAAAGGAACAATCAGATCGTATTTAACATGGTGAAGATTATGCTGTATGATTTTGGTCCACCAAAATATCTGTGGGAGGAAACTCTACTTTACCGTGCAATGCGCAGTATAATGGTCAGTTAAAAGGTTTTGCAGGGTCACTAACTCTCATCCTTCAGTAATTCCAGCCGGGGAACGCAATGAATGGCAAAAAGTTTCTCCTTATCGATGCAACCGTTTTCATTAAGGGAGATGGCGTGTGGCAGCGGATTTTTAATTCGCTTGACAAAACGCCAGAAAGCTAGTCCCCTCTCTGGGTTAGGTCGCATACATCATGCAATATTCTCTACAATAAACTGTTGTGAATAGCAAGACGGTTTGGTGGAACTTTGCGTAGCGGCAGCAGTGACAAATTAGGTTTCTTTGGTTTCGAGATACACAACTTTGCGGTTGATTGCCGGAGAGCATGAGTAGCTGTTGTTGCGCACATTATAGTTTGACGGCATCAACTAGTAAAGCGAAAGTTGTAGGAGGAAAGAGAGCAGAGGAGATCTGTAAACTTAAGCCAAAACGTGAACGGTCGTCTCCAGGGCTTTCCTATGGTTCTTGTATCGCACAATTCGAGTAGGACCGGCAATTTATCTGATGAAAGTGCGCCTAGAGCCTCACTTTGATGTCACCAGAAGGATGCCCCTTAGAAAGGCTACATCGGGCGCTATTTTTCCATGTGCGTCGACGCATAGGCTGGGTTGGTTCGAGTACCCTCCTATTCGTGTTCTCGAGTATGCTAAGTAGCCTGCTTGCAAATGAAGTCATAGAAGAGAATAGAGGCCTGGTCGAATAGCAGGGGACGCATTCAAATCAATTGTAATCTGTAGGTTGTAAAGGGGTTTAGAGAGAAATTACATCCGTCAACTTCGTTCAGCCGAGTAGTGACGTGTTTATTCAGTCTCTACACCCTTCAGGTGAGGAAGAGCGATAGTATGGTGCGGTAAGTTTCACCTTACCACGCCCCCGTCTCACTTGTCAAGGCTTTCAAGACGATACGTTATGACGTAGTTTAGGGCATCAGTGGTGTGCCCTTTTTCAAATGTCTCCCTTAGCAGCGCGTGTCCACATTATTGTGCTGCTGCACTTTTTTAGCAGTCCAATATCCAAGGTGTATATACCGCTAACATTCCACTTCAAAAGTTGCAGGTGGCCCTATGAGCTGAACCTAACAACTATTTCGGTTGTAATAACGCTTATTAAAGTGTGGCTTCATAAGCAGCCGCTGGCGTCAAATTTCGTTGATCTCTTGCAAAGTAGAAAAAAAAACACTGTAGTTGTAGATATCGTTGTAGCTATCTTTCCTGTTTAAGGGGTTGTTGCCGAGGCAAAGTCTGGATCAATAAGGCTGAAAAAGAGAACGCGAGTGTTTGAAATATTTTTTCTGCCTGTGGTTCGTTGATGTACTAAAGTTGTTTTAAAAAGTTTACGAGGCTGTTTCCGCTGTAATTTGCAGAATGGCCCTCGCCATAGTTAGCTCACTTCACTGGTGCTTCGCAGAAAATCTTACCTTGTAAAGTCATATGATCTACTTCGCACTTGACATAGCATTGAATGACGTTACAGTTCTGTGTGCTCCGTTCAACCGCTGGTAATGCCGACACTTTCCCATATGTTGTTCTTTTGCAACGACTAAAGCTAAACAAATCCTAAGGTGCCTAAGCGTTAACAAAACCTTAATGTTAATAGCCAAAGGGTAGAAAAGACTAAAAATTACTACCTTCTCGGATGCGAGCTATGCTTCTGAGTGTGACTTGAAAGATCGTACAGGGATGCTCGTCTGCGTAAATGACTGCCCCATAGTTTGGGAACCGTAGTGGTAGAGCGTTTATAGCAGTGTCCCCTGCAAAAGTCGAGTATACCACCTTAGTATGAGGTTTACGTTACGTTAGATGAACGCAAAGATTCTTAAGGGTGTTAAATTCGCCCTTTGGGAGGTGAGCGTAAATGTGGATAATTAGCAGTAAAGCTTCATAGCCGTGGGTTCGAATGGCAGAAAGATCTCTATACATAATTTCAAAATTCTCTACATTAAGAAGCTGTTAGTCAAACGCACTACGGGAAGGCAGGGTTGTAGAACTTAGATATGGCGGCCGATATACATACGAAAGTTCATTGTAGAAAAGAAATTTATTATTTTTCGGAATGTGGTGACGGGGGCCCGCTGACCCAGAGGAAATGATATATCTAGAGAAATATTCTGTGGATCCCTTAATAACCAGTCATAAGTGCCCAGCGCCCTAAATATGTTTTAAGGAAGGAACTTTGGGGGAACATTTATTTAGACTTTGTTTTAAGATTTTTTTTTTGTTAAATCGGCCAGCTATGTTGGTGAGATTATAAATTCACAGGATCTTGATTTTGCAAGTTAATGCTTTAGACTTATGGGCAAAACTTTGTGTAATTAGACACTGGGAGGAAGTATAAAAAAAAATATAAGATTTTTGGCATGTACACTCAAACCTTGGCAATAATTGTGAGTATAACATCCAACCTAGTTAATCCAACACACTTGCAAAGCATTGATGCGCCTTTAAGAGTCTCTATGCGATTATTTGTTGGATTTTTTTTTGAGGTTTCGAGTAAACTCTTAAATTAGTTATGAATATCGAAGTATCTTTGCCTCAAATAATCCTATACTTTTTTTTTAAATGTAAGATGCACAATTATCTGATAATCTAAACACCAAAGTCATCTATATCAATGAATTTTATATGTACAGAAGGACGTGCTTGTAGTTTACTCTTCCCAAGAGCAGTATATTTTGGTAAAAAAGTTAATGCCTCTAAAAATAAATATATATACCATAATTCATAAATGTTATGTAATAATTCTTTTAAAACTTTAACTTATTCAGCAATTAATAGTTAAATTTAAACTTTTAGATATAGTATAAACTTGTAAAATCCTTTCCCAAAGGATATATTATTTTTAGTTGAGCTTTAAAGTCTATAATTTTTTTTAATTATATACACTCACTTGTGAGGTGTGATAGAATACAGTTAGTAAGAGGTATGTGACAGCCGTAAAAGGAAAATTTTCTTTAAATATTAGATCGCGCTTTGTAAGTTTAAGATGTGTATCTACTTTTATCCTTTTCCCTTTTCTTACTATATTTACTGTAAGCTATCGTTAATTCATCGATTATTTATAAAAAATATTATTTTAATTATTAATTAAGTTTAAATGCGCCAAATTGTTAAAAAAAGTTCTTCTAAATGCTTTGAAGGCTATGTAGCGCGCTATTCTCATTATAGGTTTCTTTTTTTTCTAAAAACTTGCAGTTTATTTTCTATATTAAATTAATATTATTTTTCCTTTTTTCCAAATTTTCCGTTTATACTTCCAGCGAAACTTTAAAATGCAATATGACTTTTATGGTTTACCTTCCCCATGATTCAAAACCCTTGCCAGTGCTTTATTTTCTTTCTGGTAAGTTACTTCTGTAGCGAAGAGATGTTATACGTTTTACTTTAGAAAGTAAAAAGTTTAGTAAGTATATTTGCTCCTCCTTCTCT